TCTTTCTCTCGTGTACAAATTAATCCCTAGCCTGATTTTGTGAATCCGTGTGTAAAAATTGTTGGATGTTGTATCTTTTTTTCTCCCCCCCCCCTCCGTGCTTTTTATTTCTCGTTTTTTTTTTCTTTTCTTTTCTTTTGAAAAATATCGTTTTTTCGAAATTGATGATATTACACGATATCGTCTAGTTTGTTTGTTTGAACGAAACTTTGACGTTTGCTAACGAAACGTGAACGAACGACTAACCAGTTACTATAGTAATCATCGTGTGAATGCCACTTTTCAACTGATGCATCGCATTAAAGAGATCGGATGTAATAAAAATGGATAAATAGAAATCTTGTCTCGTATTTGAACAACTGTTTAAACGATCGATACGCTTTTTTGCCTTATCGTAAGAAAAAGGAAAGCTTTCGCTGAAGCTTGTCGAAAAAAACGCGAATTTAAAAAAAAAAAAAAAAGATAAAATTCCGATGTATATATGGTTCCTGTTTAACTCTTTTTCTTTTTCTTTTTTTTTTTTTTTTCTTTTGATATATACGTATATGTATATATATATATATATATTCTTCTATTTCTTTTTCTGTCACTTGTGTTTCGCTTTGTAAGCGTTTGTTGGTCGAACGCCAAAGGCTGTGGGTTTAATTTGTTCGATGCCTTTTTGGTCAAGGGACTCAGACACGCTAGGGGATGATAAATGATCGATGATCTAACAAGGTAACGGAGAATGGTGCACGAAGGTATAACACTTCAGGGCATTTTGATAATTGGGTATTACACATTAGAGCTTTATTATCTCAAATTTTAATATATTCTATCTCTCTATTTCTTTATCTTTCTCTCTCTCTCTCTTTCTCTCTCTCTCACTCTTTTTCCGTTATCCTCTCTTGTTTCGAGAGCCCGGTCGAATATTTGCTCCAAAGATGGATTGTAAATCTTGATCGATGACGTTTGCTCGTCCACGATTAACCGTGTATATCGATTGTTCGATCAAACAGTTTCATCAAGGACATCGTAAATTTATTCAAATGATATTCATTTGATAATCCATATTTTCGATATATTTTATAAAAAAAAAATTTAGAAAAGAATCTCTTTAAAAAGAAAATATATACGTAGAATGGATTACGAAGAATTAGTTGTCAAAAATTAAATATGAAATATCAAAAAAAAAAAAGAAAAAAAAATGAAAGAAATTTTTTTTAAAACAAAGAATCGTGGAACGAGCAATCGAACAACTTTCTCTTTTCGATGATATTTCCTCTTTCTTCGAACGAACACGGAAAGAAACGAAAGAAATTGTAATTGCCAGTCAAACAGTCGCTTCCATAAAGATGATCTTCGCTTGTAATTAGTGTGTCATTTCGTTAAATGCCAAAGGTAAGCCGATCACTCTCTTTCTCTTTATCTATCTATCTATATCTCTTCTCTATTTCTCTATTGAATCTATTTCTCTACTCCGTTTTTTCCAAGCTCGGCTTTTTCTCCGATATTATTCTTGCCCCCCACTTATTCTTGTTTCAAAACTTGTGTCGCCACCGTCGACCATCCGCCATGTTGGCCCCTCATCAAGCTCTTTTTTTTTTTCTTTTTTTTTTTTCCTTTCCCCTCGTTTCTCATCGCACTTCTTTGTGACTTTAAAAGTAATTCCATCAATGATGACGTATCGAGATCCTTAAATACAGAATTTTTATCTCTTCTCGATTTTCTTATATATATGTATATGTATATACATATATATATATAAATATATATTTCCTTCCTATCAGTTCGATAAATGGAAAATGTGCTTCACCGATCGTTGACTTCCGATACGACACCATCATTATCATCACATTATTTTCATCTTTAGCGAGATATTACTTTATTTCGTGTATTTTTTTTTCAATTTTATTACACCATTGATATTTTTTTTTTAGCATTTCTTTCAAGTATTTTTAACCTTATTGTGTATCTCTTCCTTCATTATCTCTGGCTGCCTTTTACGCAACAAGCCAAGTTTGTCGTTGCTCTGCCTCGTTGAAAATTCAAGGATCTCAATCGTTTTTTTCCCCCCCTTTCATTTTTTTTCTTTTTCATTTTTCTTTTTTTTTTTTTTTTTATTGCTGCTTCATCCAATAACCCGATGTAACATATTCCTTTTTTTCCAGTTAATCGATTAATATTATATTATACAAGGACGATGGTTCTCGAACGTTTACATATATATATATATTCACATATAAGTTAATTAATTTTAAAGAATACTTGTGATTTATTTTTCTTTGATCAAATCTTTTTCAAATTTCTCGAATCAAAAACGGACATCATACATATGGCAGAAGGTGAACAAATTTACACGGAAAAACACGTATACAAAAAAGATATATAGAATGAATCGCGTAGATCGATGCAGAACAGTTTCGTGGTCGTTTGTGTAATCGTTCTCTATAGAACTGTGCCTTTTGAAAAAAGACTATTTACCAGCCATTTATCAGCATTATTATAGCAAGATCAAGTTTACTTACTACAGCCACTATTTCTGCATTGAGCGATTCTCGATATTTTTTTTCAATCAAGTCACAAACTTAATCGATATTTTTGACAATCGATGAGTCTCGTTGAAAGAAACGACTCTAAGTCGCTAATAAGTCTTAACACGTTTTAATTCAAATAGTGATGAAAAAGAATAGTGATGAAGTTTGAAAAATAATTTTGCAATCATTATTTAATATTCGTAGTTGTATCATTTCTCGATGATTCTCGATTTAATCTTAAGTAGTAATACTGCAATTTTATTTAAAAAAAAAAAAAAAAAAGAAAGCTACGTTATTACACAAAACGTGTCAAGATATTATCAGAAAGTTTAATTATAGAGATCGCTTCTATTTAACGATACTCGCTTCTGAACGCTCCCTAACTAGTTGAATCTCAATAATTCTAATTTGTGTATAACTGACTATATAGATCGATATAATCGTTATTACATATATTGTCTATATATCTATATATATTACATATTTATTCATCCCCTTGATAATTATCTATCATCATCACTGTCATCATTATCATCGGTATTATTAGCAACTATCGTTGACCCCCTTTCTCTGATCATCATCATTTTCTCATCATCGTCGTGATCGATATCATTATCCGCATTATCTTTCGATATATATCGATCCTCTCTCACGATTGTTCACCCTACACACTACTCTCTTCTCTTGTTACAACTTTTCTTTTTTTTTTTACTATTTATTATTATTATTATTATTATTATTATACGCCACCATGACCACATACCACCAGCATATTTATTATTATTATTACTACTTAATTAGTATTACTATTACTATTATTACTATCATATCAAAAAAGTAGCTACGGGAATTTTTTATTACTATCTTTTATATATATATATATATTTTTTCACACAGCTGTGCCGCTGCTACCTCTGTATTTTATATATCATTGTTTAACCTATATATTTACTTAGTATTTTTTTTTTTTTTTTTACTTTCCATCACGAATAATGATCCATGCATAAGACGCACACTTCAACGAACGTAACGGAACTGAAAAAGGAAACGGACATTGAGAAAAAAAAAAAAAAATATCTAATACTAATATAAAAATAATATACGAAAGTGAAGAGAATATTATCATGAGATAAAGATAAAAAAAAAAAAAATAGAAATCGGGACAAACGACACTAAAAGTCTCTACAGAAAAAAAAAAAGGGGGAAAAAAAAATAATCATAAAAAAGATATAGCACACTTTGTACATTTTTTAGGCGTCATGATTTCTTCTTTGCAGTTTTTTATTCTTTACAGTCCTCTCACATTTTATTCTGTAATGCGCTGTGCCTACCGCCGCTGCCTTCTACCACTTCTGCGACTGGCAACTTTCTAACGACCGTCGAACGAGAATATATATATTTTTATTATTATTATGAGAATACCTACCTTTTTTGCCGAACGAAAATTTCTTGCTAATCGTCGCCCATCTCACCGACCCGATCTGCATTTCTATATGATAACAGGGGGAGGAACAAGGTTGTTTGTTGATCCCTCGTACGGTTAGAGAGCCTGTCCATTATTTCCTTTTTCAAACTGATCATCTTTCGAATTGAAACCATTCGTCTCCAAAGATTAATTCTAAATTATCTTTTCTATATAAATATTCTACGTGAAAAAGGAATTTTTTTAACAATAACAATCAGTCTCTCTGTGCGTCGAGGGATCACGTGCCTGAAGATACTAACAAAAATGAAGCTTGAATTTTACGTACTCGGGGTGCACGAAAGAGTAGGGAATTTGGAAAAAAGAGACTGAAATATAATAATAATATTATCAATATTTTTATACAGATTAATATTTAGTAAATTTCGTGACTCGAGGATTGATAAAATTTTTTACAATTCTCCTGTCACTGTCGAAAAGTAAATAAATAAATAAATTACGATAATTATATTAATATTCAATTACCAATCTTTCTCCAAAAGAGAGTTATTCGATTTTTCATTAATTTTCTTTTGGAAGAAGCACGAAAGAAAATTCAAAATCCAAAAAATACACGAGAAGATCTAATAACCTGTGTAACCTCTTTCTCTGGTCGGCCATGTTTGTTCCAATCCAGGTCACGTGACGATTCCTGACTCTTTTGAATGCACCGGCGCACAATTTAAATTTTGTAAATATAATGTAAATATGCATACATGTACATATATATATATATATATTTTCTATACTATCTTATATACGGTGTACGGGGTGCCTGGTACACGTATTTTTTCTAATCAATGGTGGATGGCAGGTGCCGGCCATCTCGCTAGCTTACGAGGCACCGGAGTCGGACATTATGAAACGGCAGCCCCGCGATCCTTACAGAGACAATCTTGTCAACCGAAGGTGGGTCTCCCAACTACCCACCAGAGAAACCAATATATTACTACCTAGCAGAAAAATTCCATGCACTCACATCTATGCTGCAGACGCCATAACACATTAATAAACACGACACGTTACACGTAACGTACATACAGAGACACATTTATACAGAGACATGAGTATATATACATTGGATCGGTGGGAAAGTGATGTCGGTTTTGTGAATGCAAAGATAGATTAATTTGCTTAATTTAAAACACGTTAAGTTTTGAAATTGCGTAATTAATTTCGTAGATGTTATAAAATCGTTATAATCTAATAGCGACTTTTTTATCTATTGGTTTTTGTTTATGTGATAATTTAAAATCGTTTATGATGATATGCGATGAGTCCAAGTATAATCGATGAATTAATTTAGAATTAAGAATATTTTTCGTATTCGTAAAATGAATCTATTACGAGAAAGCCGATGTAATATTTTCCATCGATCCGATATGATGCGTTGGAAATGGTCAAATGTTTACTCAAATGATTATTTTGAGAGACATAGTTTTTTTTTTCTTTTTTTATAATCTTTTTTATTTGAACTAGACATCGATTGGGAATTTTATATTTTTTGAATAGCTTTTCTAAAAAAGTGCTTCGATTTTAGAATTTTTATTTGAATTTTTATTTATTTATTATATTATTATTTATTTATATATATATTATATTATTTATTTATTTATTATATTATTATTATTAGATGTTAGCGATGCTCGAGATAAATCATGGAACTTTGATTTTCTATATTAAGAAGAATTTATTTAAGAATGATAATCTTAAAAATCTGTTACTTTTTAATTGAATATTTTTATTTAAACATTAAACTGAGTTTTCTGATTAATGATTTTCTATTATTTAATAAAAGATTCTCTGCATCGAACATCTCTGACGAATTTTTAAACGGTTCACGTTCTCAGATTAATCACTGAAAATGATCCATATCTGTTTCGAAAACTATTGTTTAAATTATTAATAAAAATTTTGTCGAATCAATCATTTGATCTATTTCACGCATCGTACTCGACGCGTACGTATGCGTGCACGCACAGGTACGCACACATACACGACACGTGATTGTTACACTTCATTGACAGAGTGTCTACTGAAATGTCGGAATCGTACATTTTGTTTTCTGAACTACAGATCTCTCATTGTCTCGATGGTCACTCGCTTGATCTTTATTTTGTTATTACTGCACGCGACAATGATGAAGTGTTCTTTTTTATATCGTTTTTTATTGTGTGCACTTTCGTCTGCACTCCGTTCGAAAGAATGAAGAAACAAAACAATAAAAAATAGTAAAAATCGTTCAGAAAAATTTAACACGTGGTGTGTTAACAAGATCCAATCGATCGAGAATTCCAATTTCTTCTCACGTTTGAAATAATTGAAAAAAATAAAGATACATCAAATTGGAAAAAATATTAATTATCTTAATTTTTTTTTTCTCTCTCTAATCTATTATATTAATAAATATTCGATCGAGAGATTTGTCAAAGAAATTCAATGTATACAATCGTTAGAAAAAAAAATATATATTTGTATATTTATATATACAATGAAAAGGAAAAAAAAAATATAAAGAAAATTATAAAAAGAAGGAAAAAATTCTGAAACAGTCTCGGTTGACACTCTATACGTCTCGAAGGCTTATGAAACACAAAATCTCTAGGAAAACTAGTTGATTAGTTAGCACAAGCAAGTATCTATAATCTAGGAAAATAACAATGTTGGGAATGCCGAATGCTTTAGCCACACTTAGTGAAAAAAAAAAAAAAATATATTCCAACGATTCGAAACGAGACTAACCGCCTAAGATTCGTCTTGCGCCTAATTAAAAGACCGTGTACGGTCCAAGCAGCTTATTTTTTTTCTTTTTTTTTTTTTTCTAAACATATTTTTATAACGATTGCACTACGTATGTGTGCGATACTAGAGCTTGGAAAGTATACTAAAAAAGAGAAAAAAAATACGATAGAAAAAGAAGAAAATAGAATAGTAGAGAGAAAACTGCGAACGAATGGAAAAAGTAAAAAAAAAAAAAAAAAAAAAAAGAAGCAAGCAACAGCTGAACTGCTTTGAACTTAGCGATATATTTGTACTAATAACGATATAAATATTAATAATTAATGACGATATATAGCACGGCCTGTTATAGAGAGCAACAAGTTTTAAGCTAAAAATTAACGAATCGATTACGCTACAAGGCTGATACGTGAAACTATAACACGAACGAGAGATAGTGGGTCACTAACAGCTTGTAACTTTTTATTTTCATAGTCTTCGACGCCTTTTTCTTAGCCAGCTCTATTTTCTCTATCCTGATTTCTGACCGACTCGTATCGAACCATCGCAGCGCGCTTTACACGCGATTCTGTTGTCTATACGATGCCTATATGATTTTTAATTTTTTATTATTATTATTATTATTATTATTTTATTATTATTATTATTCGATCTGCAACGCCTTACCAAGCTAACTGAGACTGATGATAATGCGTGACACTCGCGGCCTGTTGCATGGGAATGTCGCTTATTATGGTTATTGTGGAGTCGATCAATTCCTGTTTTCATCGACATTTGAAAAATTTAAAAATAATCGTAATCTAATTCGAAAACATCGATACGAGTATGGAGAAGTGGAGATGTGGAACAGAAGTATCGAAGTAATCGAAGTCTTTTTAAGACAGATATTCTGTCTTAAAGTAGCTCGAAAAAAAAACTTTTCTATTCGTTGAAAATCGAGGGACGATAAATTTTTAAAAATTTCTAGAAACCGGATTAACTCGACTTGTTCAACTCCACGATTAAATTGAAACACACATATACTGATGAAGATACTTGTCGCTGCTTCGATTTCGTTTACTAAAACCAACAACTTTACGCCAACGTCTCACGGTTCGACCGAGCGAATTGTTTTGCATGTACACTTTGCTCGATTATTTTTTTTTTTTTTTCTTTTTTTTTTTTTTTCTTTGCAAATCGTTCACCGTGAGGCTTGGCTAGCGATGCATCCAGAAATGTGAAATGTGTGTGTGTCTCTGTGCTTTGTGTGGCATGCCTCAGTGTCAAGAACCGATCGTGTTTCCGCCTACATTCGGTAAGTAATCCGCATTTTCAATCCTAGGTGACTACGGCTTCCGTAGTTTAGTTAATTAACACCACCTTAGGCTGTTAGAGGCGAACTTAGATGATTAGTGGCATACACGTATATACAGTGCTTCGTCTGACTTTCAAAGAGTTTCCAATAGTTTATCCTTGAAAAGGAAATACGTTACACGTGTTAAAAATATATTTTAATAAAAGTAGTAAAGCCAGCTTAATATCCTAATTAGATCCTTTGCTCTTTAGATCGTTCTCTCCGTTAGATCTAACTAACAATTAGTCCCGCTAAATATAGAAATTTGAATTTCTTGTTTTTTTAAATAAATTTTCGTTGATCCGGATTTTTGTTCTTTTTTCTTTTTTTTTTTTTTTTAATTTTCACGAAGATCTAGAATGGAAAAGAATTCCTTGAAAGTCAGAATCTCAACGCAAAATCCATCCTTCGACAATTGTCTAAATGCGATTCTCTATGCACAGGCTTATTTCGATGGCGTATGGTCAGATCGGTATGATCCAGGCGGCCGCCGGTTTCTTCGTCTACTTCGTGATCATGGCTGAGAACGGATTCCTGCCGCTGCATCTTTTCGGTATTCGAAAACAATGGGACTCCAAGGCGATCAATGATCTTCGTGACAGCTATGGCCAGGAATGGGTAAATTAATCCCCCATTCCCAAGAAAAATAATTTTACAAATCGCAGAAATTTCTATGTTTATTTTACAAAAAAAAAAAAAAAAAAAAAGAAGAAGAAGAAGAAGATAGAAAAATGGATTTCATTAATATTTTTCTTTTCTCTCTCTCTCTCTCTCGACAGACATACAGGGATCGTAAAACACTTGAATTTACCTGCCACACAGCCTTCTTCGTTTCGATCGTTATCGTTCAATGGGCCGATTTGATCGTATGTAAGACGCGACGTAATTCCATCATCCACCAAGGAATGAGAAACTGGGCCCTCAACTTCGGTTTAATATTCGAGACCGCCCTCGCCGCGTTCCTAAGCTACACACCCGGCATGGACAAGGGTCTCCGCATGTTCCCTCTCAAGTGAGCTCTGTCTATTTTTTTTTTTTCGCCAATCTTTTTTTCCATAAGATAGATATCTAGAGAAAACAATTTCTCAATGAACACTTTATTCTTCAAAGGAATAAAGAAAAAAGAAATTAAATATAATGGTATAAATAATATTATAAATAATAATACACAGTATATATAAATAATATAAATAAATAGTATGAATAATATTATAAAGCAAAGAAGAAGAGAAAATAAAAAAAAACAAGTATCACATTGTGATGTATTTTCAGATTCGTCTGGTGGTTGCCCGCCCTTCCCTTCATGTTCGCCATCTTCATCTACGACGAGACGAGACGATTCTACCTCCGCCGGAATCCAGGAGGCTGGCTCGAGCAAGAAACTTACTATTAGACGCGAAGGAAAATTTAATCATACACGCAGAGCGCGCGCGCAAGAGTTACAAGAGCGAGAGATGCAGAGAGAATGATGAGAGAAAGAGAGAGTGAAATATGCATATTACCCACGCAGATATACACCGAGAAACTAAGTAAAAAAAAAAAAAAACGAAATAAAACTTAAAAAAAAAAAAAATAAAAAAAAAAAGATACAACCAAACAATGGATAAAAAAAAAAAAAAAAGAAAACGTTAAAAAATCATTCACGTTATACACACACAAACATACACACACACACACACACATATTTTATCATGGGGCGTGCTATTCGGGTTTAACTGTCGCGAAATAAAGAGATATATTCAGATGGGGACAATTCGCATCAGCCGAGCCGAATCGTCGAACGATCATCGCCATAATAATTATACAGATATAGAGTGTCTTGCAGTTGTTTCACGAAGAAATTAAAAAAAGAAAAAAAAAAAAAATGCTTCGCGTGGGAGTAGAAAAAGTGGCTTACGAGCACTCTCGTTAACACATGGTGTGTGAAGTACAAAAAAAGAAAAACAAAATATAAAATGAAAAAAAAAAAAAAATAAATAAATAAATAAAATAGGAGGAGAGACGAGAAAATGAGAAGTGTATGAGAAAGAACAAAAAAACGTTCGTCGTTCTGGCTCTGCGAGTTGCTTGCACGCGCGTGCCGGTGTATCATTAAACAGAGATTGTCGTTCGAGAAACATCGAAGGGATCGACGAAGAGAATAAAGGGTTCTACGAGCAACGTCGTCGGGAAGACTTCGAGCTTCCGGGTACACACACGTTTGATACGATTCACGAGGGTTGTAGGGGTTGGTGCTGCCATTGGATTATCGGCGATCGAACGAATAAGAAAAAAAAAAAAAAGAAAGGGATGTCTGTAGTAGGGCCTAAGCATGAGTATCAAAAGAGAAAAAAAATATGGCGTAGGACGGTATCATCAAGAAGATGAGCATAAATGTGAATGGAAAGTACAAGTATTGGCAGAGGACACCCGTGTATCTTTTTGGAGATCGAGGGATACAAAGAGTGGCGACAAATCGTCGGATAACGCGCACGTCCGTATGAACGTCGACGGGTGTACGACATGGATGAACCTTTTAGAGAAAAAAAAAAAAAAATAAATAAATAAAAGCGGATAATTAGCATCGTGGAGCATTCCGTAGACGTCTTGTGATATCAGAAAAAAAAAAAAAATATTCATATAGGCATCCCGTTAAGTAAAGGAGCAAAGATCACTGCGCTAGATTGGCACGCCCTTGTTAAGAGTTTAAAAAAAAAAAAAAATTAAAAAATGCAATGTAGTCACGGTATAAAAAAAAAATAATAAATAAATAAATAAATAAGAGCGGTATTATAAATGTTACACTGATGCAGAAGTTTAAAAATCAATAACGAGAATATCATTCGCAATCGACATACATTGAAAGAAACGTATTTACATATAGACGTCTCGTGACACCTACATTCTTAAATAGAAACTTCTTAATTGTTAATTAAAGAAAAAAAAAATAATAAAATAAAATGAGAAAATCAGTACGCTAGATTGGCACGCCACTAGAAGTTATTCATATAACGCGCCAAAGAGGGAGAGAGGATAAGAGAGAAAAAGAATAAATAAGAAATTAAAAAAAAAACGAAAGAAGCATAAGAAAAATAAATATACAAAAGTAATGAAAACGCGTTATTCAGTACTCATTATTATTCTTATTACAAGTAATGTCATTCGGTTCGAATCTTTAAAATCAAATCTGAGTAGTTATCGAGGTCAGAAGTCGCATCGTATAAATATTTTAATAGTTTGTGAATCTCTATGTGAGAATCGTTACGCGAAAGAAGAACAAATCAGGAAGGAACTGTAAAGAAAAGAACTCGAAATGAACTCGAAAAAAATATTAGATGCGCGGGGGCGAACACGGGGAATAAAGGCAAACAGACAGTATGATAAGTACCTATCAATTGAATCACTACCAAGAAAGAATACAAAGGAAACTAGATAAACAAGAAGAGGACAGAAATAGTAAGAATAAAGAAGATATATATGTTATTTAAGTTGCGCGCCACAAAATGGTAAAGCGGCGATCACAGTTTTGGTAACAGTTTGGTAACGTTGAATTAGATGAACTGCGTGCCACGATACTATTGACAAAACTGGATAAATGAATTATGAAGTTATTGATAATTGAAAAAGAAAAACGGGAAATAAATAAACATTATAAGAGCGAGAATTTAAAATAGCTACGCCGCTCCGGGGCCTTGTAGTTTCCTGGGTGAGGGCGCTACGATAGTCGAGATAACAGGATATTAAAAACGCTAGTAGAGGATGAGTAACGACATAGGAGAAGCACAGAAGAATGAAAATGAGAAATAAGACAGACAAATGAAAAAAAAAAAAAAAACATTCTTACTTAGGCGAAACTAAAAGTAAAGAAAAAAAGATATAAATTCATTCTCTTAGTTTCTTCATAGGTTTAAAAACGCCAGCGGGACAGCTCGCTATAAATCATATTGACCCCCGAACGCAGGACGCCCTGTACCACCAACCTGTGGTCTGTCGTGTGTATGTGTGTGACAGTATCGAAACAACGCCCTTTGGAATTTTTTTAGGAGCAACAACAAACCACCAACAACAACACAAAAAAAAAAAAATGTAAAACAAAAAAACGATAAACGAAGGTGACTTAAAATACCTGCCACGCGACTTTTCGGGCCGGGACGATCCGAGACGTGCGATCATGTCAGGGCTTGTTTCGAGTTTCTTAAATGTGAAAAAACAAACGCATACAAAAAAAATCTGTTTTCGTTTCTCTTTGCTTACGTCAATTTTAATCCTTGTTGCTCGCTTTCGCGATTTTTCGGTGTGTACATGTGCGCATGCGCTGGCAACGTCGGTGAAGAGGGCGCTTCGTTTTAAGCGGAAAACCGGGGCGGAGCGTAGGTAATGACAAACTCGTTGTTTAAAGTTTATCATCGCCATGGTTCCGACGATATTGGAAATCAACGAACAGCCTCGATGGGTACTCCACGTTCTCTGATTCCACTGTTCCGCACGAATCAAGACGAATGGACCGGTCGAGGATTCAGGTAGACAAAGGGTGACGCTCACTCGGCGGCCCTGGCCCCAAAACTACCCTAAGTGTTCAATAATCGAGGTGTTCTCGAGGTGCCGTACACGCGTAACACGTTCTTCACTCGCCAATTCCATTGAATTTCGATTTATTCACGAATATAAAAAATTATATTCCAAGGGTTACAGTTTTCCTCCAGCCCTTCCGATGATTTTTCTCTGTTGTGCGCGCGAAAGGCTGGTCGAATCATTTGAACCCATTTATAAACATAAATAACGTTGAAATATGAATTCAATCGAGAAATTCGATGGAACAGGTGAAGCTTTATCGTTTTTGAGACACATGGATCGTCAATTCGAATCCAACCGATAACTTTTTAAAAGGAAAAAGAAAGAAAAAGTGAGGGAGAGAAACGGAAAGAGGGCAGCAGTGTACCGTTGCGTTGCTCGTCGAACTCGGACTTGAATTAGACCTCCAATAAAAATTAAACAAAATGATAATATTTAAAAAAAAACGTCCCTAATTTTCTTCTTCTAGCAAATGGAAGAAGAAGACAAATCAGTTGAAGAAAAAAAAATCAATCATCAGTGCTAGCTGTTGGAAAACAAAGAAAGAGCTGTTCAATATTACGCCATATAATTACGTTGTCATAATGTTTCTTGGTTTCGCGTTGCGGGATAGTGTATACCGATAGCTCCGTGTGTGTGTTATTAGAAAAATCGATCATTCCTGTCACAACGAAATCGAACCAAAATGAAAAAAAAAAAAAAAAAGAAAATAGATTGCCTTCGACGGATCCCCGTGTTTCAAAATAGGACGCGAATAGAAAAGAAGAGAAATAATGATCTAAGAAAAAGAAGATATGCTGATAGAAAAGTGATAGGAAGGTATAAATATAACGAGAGGGGGGATGATGCATTGGCCCATTTGTTTCTATAAAATCGCTCCCGAGTTAGATGCTGGATCGAACGATCCGTGGTTTGTCGACAGGGTGTTCCGTGCCCGGGGGGCGTAGGAGCCCAAAAAATGCTTTGCCGTCGTGCGCCTCTTTACTTTAGGCTAATAATTTAAACATTAATAATATAATAATAATAATTATAATATAATACATGTTACAATAAGATATTATTAGATGTAATTATTATATATGGTTTAGTCTAGATCGTGTTGTTGAAGAAAAAAACAAAGTACGTATAAGCGAACAAAAAAAAAAAGAGAACAAAGATGAAGATATGAAGAGTATAACGACGACGACGAGAGTAAGGAGAGAGAAAGAGAGAGCGCGAGAGCGAGAGAGAGAAAATAGAAAATCGAGGAAAAGTGACGATGAGAGGAAAAATTCGGTCTAAGACCACAATATCTTGCGGCGGACTGAGCGGGACACAAATGAGAGAATCCGCTTTTGCTTCGTTCTGTACGCGTGATACATAGTTTTTTTTTTTTTTTTTTTTGAAACCGTGTCATATTTAGACATATGTACATCTTTAGTGATCCTTTTCGTGCGAAACCGCGTTTTTTTCCCTTACCTAATTTTCGCTACGTTTCCGGTTACGCGGATAGATTTGCGGCCATATTGTATTTCTTCATTTCGGCGACGTCATCGTTTTTTTTTTCCTCTCTTTTACTAAATCCGCGGATTCTTAGGAAAAGACAATCCTCGGCACACAAAGTCGCAAATCTTTTCGTGTTCTGCAAACGGTTAACTTCTATCAATATCAGAAATAATGCAATTGTCGCAAAATTGTTTTTCGCGTGAATCGGCGTAAAAGAGCGGGAGAAAAAGAAACGCGTGAATGTGGGCGAGAGAACGTGTGTTTTTAATATAACGGATTCTTCGCTTTTCTGTTGCCGTGATCGAATAATACAATTGGCAGTGAAACATTCGAATCAAACTACTAAAAATCTGAAAATAAAAGAAATGAATTAAAAAAAGAAGAGATAAAAAAGTGCATAAAATAATAACGAAGAACAGTGTCACGAGAATTCTGTGAAACGTCGCCCCTGCACAGCCCGCCACATCACGACAGAATCATTGAATGATTAAAATATAAACAAAAAAAAAAAAATGAATGATGTTTTATTAATATTGTACATATTTTAAATAATTGCAGACGGACAAATGGATCGCGCATGAACGATGACCCACAAGAAGATGGTCAGTTTAAACGGACCATCTTTTGCGTGTGGATCTCGTACTCTTTTTCTGTTTTTCGTTTTAGCGCCGCATATATGATACACATTCACACACATACACACCACACATGCCGTGAGACACATGCGACATAGAGAGAAATATACACACGTACACGCTCAGAGATAAATGAAAAAAATTGTACACCGCTCTACCAAACTATCTCTTCTGATTGACGATTCCTTTCATATTGATTATTCTGTAAGTTCTGTTTTCACACGTGAATTATATTAAGGAAGAAACGAGAGACATTGTCCAACCCAAGTGTCATTACTTTTGATGTTAAATAAAAAATACATAATTAATAAAGCACTCTTTATCCTATCTTCCTGATTAGTACTTCCAGCGCAAAATTATTAGTTATGATACAGGATGATTAGGTGAATGAAAAACAATTTTAATTGTTGTAGCATTTATTATGCTTATATATCTGTAATTATTCCAATCATATTTCATTTGTATAAATTTTAATTTCACACAAATACTTTTGTGTTCTTTCATTCAAGTTCTGCTGTTGTCAATTTTTGTCTATCCCTATGTAGATTTTTTTTACGTAATCGTTGAATGTGTTTCTTCAATTTACCTTTATTTTTCAATTCCTCATATTGAGAAACTAGATTCAAAAATCGTTTTTCCGCTATAACAGAAAAAAAAAATTTTTAATATTAACACATTGTAGAATTATATTTACTATATCTTACTATATATTTTATATCTTCTTACATTTCTTTTTAAATACAGGTTTTTCACCACGTCTGATAATCTCAATAACCTCTTTCTTTTCTTGATATTTTTTTTCTTCCTCTTCCTGTTTTCTTTTCTCTTCGTGTAATTGATTTTCCAATCGTTGAATAAGATATTTAATTTTTTTTATCTTTTTTGGATCTTTAGTATCCTTTAATTGCTTTCTCAATTCTTTTAAATCATTTTCTTTCATTTCTGTAATAAATCCATAAGCTTTTTTGAAACGCTTTTGATCAAATGTACCACACAAACTATCAAATCGAGGATCTCTTGGAATATTTTTTTTCACATGTATTATTTCTTTAAATCGAGAAACAGGTTTTTTTGCAGATTCTTCACGAGGTCTATTTTTATTTTCCCGTTTGAAATTAATTTTTTTAACTTTTCGTGGACCAAACAACGTTTCTTTATATATTTTACTACCTAATTTTTCTTTGAGTTTTTGTAAATTTTCAAAACTCATTTGTGAAAGTTCCGCCCTAATTTGATCCTAATTAATAAAAACATATTCATTTATAGAAATTAAGTTTTAATTGTTTTTTATTTTTTCGTGAATATAAATATAACCTATTTATATATCAGCAATTAATTTGTGCAATTCAGAAAATAACAAAAAAAAATAATAGTATAAACATTTACCTGATCTTTATCTTCGTTGAGAAGAACATCTTCTTCATCACTCATATTAAATAACGAAAAATATCAGAAAAATAAATAATCTTTTTGTTTGCTTTCTGTCGAAACATCCACAGGACCGCCATATTTTATTTGGTAGATATTGTTTCAAATAATTACGGTAGATGACGCCACATTGTCATCCCAATTTGTGTTGACCTCTATTCTAAGTCGAAGGAACAAAAAAATTGTTGATATTTTATTGGTTATAAAGAAATTGTTTTAAAAAGGTAAAATTATTTTATTTTTTCTGATAATTGTATAATTTAATAATGTAAAATATTACACATTAAAAAATTCAATAAATTATGAATATTTTCTATGAGAATTTTTTAAAAAAACATATATTTTGCAATTTATAAATAAGAAAATATAGTATATTATATATTTAAAATTATATTCAATATAAAAATAAATTAGAAAAATCTGTCAAATATAAAATTATTTTTTGTTATATTTGACATACTTTTTGTGTAATCTTTTATTTTTAATTTTTTGCAAATTTTCTGATGATTGTGCAACATTATGAAATCCCTAATTTTACGTAACGCGTTATATCAATGTCGAGACTTATTGCTATACGTATATCATGATAGGACCCTCTTAAGCTGCGTAAAAGGATAATTTTACTGCGTAAAAACTGTAAACCTGTATAGTGGCTCCCTCTTAATTGTTACAAATCGAGTTCAAGGTTATCTGAGTCTTAAATCTAATAAACAACATTACTTCCTAATTGTATTGATGTTTTACTAGAAATACAAAAAAATTACTTTATTATTCACTATCATGATTCTTTTATCAATAAAAATTCAAAAAATTATCAATGTTTCAAAGAATAAAATATATTTTGCATAAAATAAAATATTTATGATTGTAATCATAAAAATATAAATTATTTCAGATATTTTCAGATATACGTAAAATAATATCAATCTTTTATTTCAACATAAACATTTAAAGAAATATTATCTGCTATCCTTGAAAAGGAAATAAAAATTGTATGACTATAAATTTCATACATTTCTTATATTTCATAAATTTTAAGTTACGAATATTATGTATTTTTGAACTACAGTCATTTAAAATTACATTTTCAGATGTAAATTTAACATTCTCTACCAGAGGGCAGCAACATCAGAAGTGTCTAAAATGGCGGGTGTGCTGTTCGAGGATATTTTCAACGTAAAAGACATCGATCCAGAAGGGAAGAAGTTTGACAGGGGTAAGTCTGAAACACATTTTATACTTCCGTTTATTTATAATCACTGTTAGGATGAAATACATTGCATTGTTATCAAATTTTTAACCGTTAAAGAAAGAACGTTTTGTCGACATTTGTTCTCTACGGAAGTTGCCGGGAAGCACATGGCGTGACTGTTTGATTTAAATACTAATTTTTATACATAAATTTCTAGAAAATTTAATTGACTAATTGGCACAAGAATAAAATTTATAATTCAATATTTATTCATTGACATATATATTATCTATAATATAGTATATTTGGAATATACTAAATTATGCTAATCATTCGTCAATCGTCTTGTCTTCTACAATGGCGGGATATTTAAAATTTAAATAAAAAAAAAAAACAATATATATAAAATCATGTTAACCAATCATGGCAATTTAATATTATAATGTATATATATTTAATTATTAAAAGATTAATTAATATTCAAATATTTAATATTAATATAAATATTTGTCAAAAATTTATTATTTTGTTTTTTCTAAATTTTCAATATTTCAATATAATGATTTTCTGCATAGTAGCATATAGAAATAAAATAGAAAATATTTGTCAATGTGATTTTTTCCTAAAAACATGCACAGGTCGAGCATGTTTAACATTTCTTTCAATTTGAAAGGCAATGCTTTGTGACAATGCAACTTCATTCTTCTTTATCACCTTGAACTCTGATATAGGATTCGTTACCGATATTTCTTTCATATATATTTATTATTAAATATATTTTAATAAATATTAATTCCATAAATCAAATGTTTTTATTACGATAAAGTTAAAAAATTAATTAAAAAGGATTCTATTGCGTGCTACTTTTTATTCACTTGTCGTTACTATTTATTAACTTGTTTTTGTACAATAGCATTAATATACACTTTTATATTTGTTTCAAGAATTTATTTTTTTTAAATATGATTTAAATTTTTTTATTTATAAAAAAATTAAAAGGGTGATGTATACTTTTGATTTTTATGAGACTGTATTTATCAATACAGGAAGTTTATGCATTGAAGGTCATTTAGAAATTGATACGCGTGCCAGAATTATGCGTCATTGATACCATATGCCAAAGTATACGTGCCAAATGTAAGCTTAAAAAAGGAATTTTTTTTTTTTGTGTTAAGAATATTTAATATACTTATACAATGTATTATATTTTCACAAGATTTAAAAAAATTAATATCTCTTTATCAAAATTAATATCTCTATTTCAAATTATTCCAAAATTAACAATAATGACTTAGAATTAAAAAATTTTTTCTTATAAAAAAAAAAAATTCTTTTATCATTCTAAATATCAACAATCTTCTTTGCAATATACATTTATGCAATACTATACTTATACATTTTTCAACGAAAAATTTTGAACACAAATAAATTTTTTTTCGAATCAATACTTCTGGCAAGATGGCAAAATAATTTGCAAAAAAGAAGTACGCCTTGTATCGCATCACCCTATATTTTCACCTACATTATCGCTGGGAAAGGGTTCCTCTGGAACAGCGGCGTTCCACGCGGATGGGTGTTAGTGGGGCTAGCTTGGTGTGCAAGCGAGAGAAAAGATGGGATCTCGGTTAGCAGGGAAGAGAAAGGAGCAAAGGGGCGGGAAAAAGAGTGGCGGGACGCTGAGAGCGGTTTCGAAGCAGCTCAAATGATGGAAGAGTGGAAGGAGACTGGCTTCTCCGTGGTAAAAGCATGTTTTTCCCCTTTTTTCTCCCGATTGCATACATATTCAGTTGCTTCGGAAAGTATTCCTCGTGAAAAATGCGACTAATCGGTACGTTCCACATGGCTAATAAATCCAGCCCGTCCGTTAGAAATTTTTGCTGTGATGAAGCCACTTCGTTTTGATTTGCAAAGAGTTCGCAATATCGCGATAATTCACTTTGACTCATGGAATCAAGACATCTTCAACGGGTATAGCTCCATTCAAGGTATTCAATATCGATACATATACGAAATATAAAGCGGATCGAACAGGGGAGGTTTGAAAAACGATCAAACATATATTATCGTCCCTTCCTTCCGTACGGTGCGCTTCATGTCCGCGCATCCTTGATATGGGTAGCGAACCTTTTCAAAAAACATACGATAGCATTGCAAACGAATGGATCACGCGATGCAATTTCTAACTAATACCAAAATTCTCGATCAAATACACTACTCCTTACACAGTGACAGTTTCTCTAATCTCTATGAACATCCAGGATAAATGATACGTATATATATATATATATATATATATATATATATACATGTGCGTGTGTATGTGTGTGCCATGGTGGGTATTCGCGAACATCATTTACGCGACAATTCCTCTCGACTTTCACCACAAACGTGGATAGACGTTTATATAGGTATACAGAATGAAAAGGGCGGTGGGACGCGATCTGCCGGCAGCGAGCTGCTTGGCGGCAATTCAAGGGGTGGGACGGGGAGGGTCGTGACGGGTTTGCCAGGGAGTTGAGGGGTGAAAGACGAGGGGGCTGGCAGTCTGTGCTGCGGCCGGTCGATGCAGCAACGATGCCCGCAGCCGCAGCAGCAGCAGCCAGCACCACTAGCACCGAGCAACATCGCATTCGCGTAATACGACGCGACTCTGGGTGCTGTGGGGTGGCCAATTCAGTGGAGGGGGAGCAGCCGGGACGCGTTAGACCGGCTTGGTGGGGGTTGACACGGTCAAGGTCAGTCTCCGTTCCAAGGTCACGGGGAGATGTCATCTCAGGAGGGAGCCGCGCGGTGTTCTTTCTCTCTCGCTCTTTCTCTTTCTCACTTGCTCGCGTCACGTCTTCACCTTCGTCCTTTCTCTTTCTAATACGGCAGCTCGGTTTTCCTTACGCACTTTTCCCTTGTCGATATCATTTCTGTATGACAATTGCAAACAGTAAAAAATTTCTTTTCCTTTTGCTTGTGTTCTTCGTATTTTTCATTCTTTCTCCATATGTTTTCATGCTGATTTTTTGCTTGATGGTTTCCTGTTCACGAACCAAATAGGATGGAAGCAGATGCGAGGATGATTTCTCAAGGTTTTATTTTTTTTTTATTGTCCATTATTTATGTTTTTTTTTTATTTTTTTAAATTAAGAATTGTTTGAAATTTTTCATATTGTTATTATCCTAATTTTTATTATTATTACATTGTTATTATCCTAATTTTTATTTTATATTTAACGCTAAGTGTAAATTAAAGGTTTTATCACTAATGCAATTGTTAATATTATCAGTAATCAAATAATGATTTAATGAAATTTTAATTTCAATTAATTTAATTTTTTAAATTTGACCGAATATAGTTTTTAAACGGTAGAATCTTTGGCCATCGAAATCGATTTTATTCGACAGCCCTGGCGTCAGCCGTGAAGTTGGAGGTCGCGTTAAGTCCCATTCCCACGATTCGAGCCCCGTTAATTAAATAACGCTGATCAATCCGTGTCTGAACGACCGGTCAATCAATGTTTTATTTGCGAAGCATGTAAATTCATTTCCAGTTTGTTTGGTCGACGTTCCAATTTCGCTTCGGGTTCCTGTCAAACATTAAAAATCCGAACGCTATGCTTCGTTTCGTCAATATAACGTTACTTTAAAATACATCCACGACACGTAAAGTCAATCGATTTTACCTTAACAACGATAGTGTGGAAAAATTTCGAGGATAGGAAAAAGAAGAAAGTAAAAATTCAAATATCGAGGTAAATTTTTAAAAATTTTGAAATTTTAATCGATTTATCGATTTGTAAAGCACAAAAATTCTACGTATGAAATTTCAAAACACCTTATTGAAACCTTATTTCACCTAAATTCTTTATTATTATTCAAATCAGAAATCACAATTGACAAAAAGA